GACAGCCGGGGTGAAAGGAGGCGAGGAAGGCGAAGGGAAGAAGAGGGTTGGCGAGGAAGAGGAGCCGGCAACCATAGCTGACCGAAGGGTTGACCGGAGGTGTTGACCGGCGGTTACCGGAGTTGATCGGAGGTTGACCAGGGGCTGATAGCAGCGTTGGCCGGCGTTGACCAAGGCCGTTGACCAAGGCGTTGACCAAGGCGTTGACCAAAACTCTGACCAAGCTGGAGCCGGTAATATCTCGCCAAGCCTTCAACCTACCCCTCGCCCTATGGATGTGCACACACCCCTTGGTACTTGCTGAATTCAGTCTGTCTGTCTATTCTTTCTGCATCGAGTCTCTTCTGTCCTAGGTGATAGTACTCTGTGGATGAAGGATAGGGTCTTGTTGACCAAACCCACACGAGATGAGTAGGGCTAAAAGCTGTGTCTGACGACTCGACTGTCCCGGAGGTCAAACCCTCCCAAGGATTGGTACTGACCGGCGGGCTGCTCGGTGTGGCACGGTAGGCCTCGAAATCCGAGCTGTGGGCTGCACAACAGACCGTCTAAGTCTTGAGAGACCTGCTGATCGCGTATGTCTGCGATGTTAAATAATTCCTGAGGAGTTCGGGGGATCTCCTTAAATGCCTCCTGATCACCCGCAGGTCTAGTAGTGACAGCCATAGTTAGGTCTAGGCTAGAGACCATAGTTGGCAGGATCCTTGTCAGGATTCTGTGAGTCCTTAGATTGAGTCAATAGGTCTGTCAGTCAAGGGTCAGAGTCTACGTGGTGAGGTTTGGAACCACTAACCCGGTTGTACACTTATCACCATGGTGGAGTTGCGTAGTGGGAAGAGTATGAGCCCATACACCTCTGAGCAGCAAGAGAAAATGGCCGCCTTAGTCAGAGAGAACAAGGAGAGGAAGGAGCTCGAGAAGCAGGCGAAGCTCAAGGCTATTACAGAGGAGCAGGCGGCGAAGATGAAGAGATTGGAGGAGGAGATGAAGAGGATTCGGCAGGAGGAGGAAGAAAGAAGAAAAGTTGCTGAAGCAGAAGTAGCAGCAGAAGAAGAAAAAGAGAGAATGAGGATTGAGAGTGGAGAAGGGAGCAGAGGCACGATGAACAGGGATGCAGATGTAGAAATGGAGAAAAGGATAAGTGAATGGGTAGCTAATTTATCTTTGGGAGAAGACGAGGAGGCAGAGTCTTATGTGACTCAAGATGAGAGGGATGCGCTAGCCAGCGAGCTAGCAGCGATGAAGGACCCTATGGAACGGCGAGAAAGGGAGGAGGAACAAAAGTTGGCTTGGAAACTGAGGATGAAGAGGGAGAAAAAGAGGAGGAGAGAAGAAGTCAACAAGCTGACCGCAGAGGTGGCGAAGGTGCAAGAGTGTAGGAAAGAAGTGTTGGCCCAGCCAGATGATAAGGCCAAATGGGACAAGGTATTGGGTTACCTGGAGGTGTTGAGCACAACATGGATGGAGGAGCGCCAAGCTAGTTGGAGTCAGGAGGTAGCCTTGAGTGCCATGCGGTCGGGATTTAGGGACTGCGCGCGTGATATCGTCACCCACATTGGGGGCGAAGTCAAGCAACTGAGGGACAACGTGGGGAAGTTTTGCGAAGGCGCCATTGAAGGTGCCAAAGCAATAGCCGCTGTACAGGGCGAGGTCAGACCCCGTAAAGAGCCTGTAAAGCTCAAGTTCCCAGACGCATACTGGGGGAAGAAGGAGGAGAACTTTGGCAACTGGGAGGCCAGTGTTAATAGTTACATATATCTAGAGCACATCCTGTCAGAGGAACAAGTCCTCGTGGCCTTCCAGGCCCTCAAGGATGAGGCGACTAGTTTTGCTACGTTCCTTGCGCGCGCAGCCGGTTGTGGAAACAACTTGGTTGCATATTCAAGAGTCACCCCCCTTCCTCATTCTTTAATCTCCTGAAGGAGCGATTCGCAGACCCAACAAGAGGCGTTCGCGCCTCTGACAAGCTACAAACGATCCACTCGCGACAGTGGAGGAGTGCAAGAGCACTCAAGGGTACCATGGACGACTTGGTAGTCGTCCCAAACCATGGGGTCACTAAGACCCAGTTGGTCCAATTATTTTATCGTGCCATGCCAGAGGCCCTGCGTGGGCACTTCTTTGACAAATCTCACAGGCCGACATCACTTATGATGCATTGAGTAGAGAAGTCATCCTGTAGAGTCAAAGTCCATGCCAGTTACCACCTTCTGGCACAAGGACTTAGATAAGGGGAAAGGGTGGAAAGGTCGTACCATCTCGGGCCAAGTGAGCGCCAAGGATCACATGATCCTTACTTTAGAGGAAGGTGGTACTGACGAGGTCCCATATAGTCAGATTGAGTGGGGCCTAGAGGAGGAGGACAATAGCGTGGGGTAGGGGAGGTTTTATGCTGCTGTCGCGGCCGGAGGGAGGCCGCAAGGTAGAGGAGGAGGCCAGGGCCAAAGGGGCCAGGCCATGGGAGGTCGAGGACCGAGCGCACAGGGGGTTGGCGGACAGGGAAACCGCCAAGTGGGAGGTAGGGGTCAAGGTCCCCCGCCAAATCGCCAAGGTTCTAATCGGTCCCCGCACAGAAGAGGTGGAAGGGCACCTCAAGGGGGATGGCACCCAGGCTTGCCACAGGGCAGGCCCTGGGAAGATTTGGGCTTGGACCAGGGCGTATGGCAAGAACGCGTGAACTTGGGTCAGTGCGTGTTTTGTGGTGACCCGGCCCACGTAATTAAATTTTGTCCAAAGTATAGACAGGCCCATTGGGCTGCCCAGCAGTCAAAAGGCAGCCGCCAGTAGGGGTTGCAACTGCCCCTACTTTAAGGCCATGTGGAGAAGTGAGCTCGCGCGAACAGGAAACTCCCAACCCACGTGAGCCTATGGTGAAGGTTGCAGGCCCGTGCCTAGCTAGCTGTCCAGAGACTGCTTGTGTTAGCGTCTCTCTAGGCACGTCCCTCACAAGTGTGGCAGAAGAGTTAAAGGAGAGGATGCCCGCCTGGGGCAAAATGAAGAAAGAGAGTAAAGGACAACTGATCTTGGTAGATGTAGAAGTTTTCAGGAATAGAGTAGGGGCCCTTATAGACTCAGTGGCCACCCGCAGTTGTATTACCCACAGAGCGCTGAAAAAGTTAAGGCTAGGATTGAAAGTCCAAAAGTTAGCAGACGCCATAGTCAGTGTCCTCGCAGACAACCACACGATGCGTGTTCAGGATTATGTAGAGGGAGTCCAGGCGTACTTTCGCCTAGAGAAGGATGGGAAGGTGGAGAAAGTTCTCCATTCCCTGACTCTCCTCGTACAGGATGACGTTCCTTTTGATGTAGTGTTAGGAATGGATTGGGGAGAGGCAGCAGGGGCCACACTCCATTTGAGAGAGCACGAGTGTAGGCTCCCTAGCCCGTCAGGCGAGGTTAAGACTGCTCGCCTGTTTCATGTGTCAGGTGTAGACAACACCTTGGCACATTGCTGTCTCAGTGCTCCCGCGTTCTAGTGAAGAAGGAGCGATTAGAGGAACAAGTCTTTGTAGTCTATGTTAGACCTGCCACTGAGGCTAAGGAAGAGGTGACTTCCACAGATCCAACCATTGCCAAGCTGCTGGAGGAGTTTAAAGACTTGCTCGAGTCGCCGACAGGAGTAGTGCCGCGACCCATCCAGCACAGGATAGAGATAGAGCGTGGCAGTAGAACTCCTAAGGGAGCAGTTTACAGGATGTCCCCTAGAGAGTTAGAGGAGTTGCGCAAGCAGTTAGACGAGCTCCTTGAGAAAAGTTGGATCAGGCCCAGTTCGTCGCCTTTTGGAGCATCAGTTTTATTTGTCCCCCAAAAGGAAGGAGAGCTTCATATGTGTATAGACTATAGGGGTTTAAATGCGATCACTGTGAAGAATGTTGAGCCGCTGCCCAGGATAGACGATCTTTTAGATCGGGTGGAGGGTTGTAAGTATTTTTCAAAGATAGATCTGAAGTCCGGATACCATCAAATAGAGGTCCATCCTGATGACCAGTACAAGACAGCATTCCGGACTCGTTATGGGCACTATGAGTTTATAGTGATGCCCTTTGGACCGACCAACGTGCCAACCACCTTTCAGCATTGTATGAACGATCTGTTCAGACCATGGTTAGACAAGTTTGTAGTAGTCTATTTAGATGATATATTAGTTTTCAGTAGGACCCTCCAGGAGCACCAGGGTCATCTGAGGCAGGTCTTGGAGAAGCTACGAGAGGCTAACTTCAAGATCAACGCAAAGAAGTGCGAGTGGGCCAAGACACAAGTCCTGTACTTGGGCCACGTGTTGGACGGAGATGGCATTAAGCCAGAGGACAGTAAGATAGTGGCGATTAGAGATTGGTCGACGCCCCGCACATTGACAAAGTTGCGGTCGTTCCTAGGCTTAGCTAACTACTATAGGAAGTTCGTGAGGAACTTCTCCACTATCGCCGCTCCCCTGCGCAGGTTGCTTAAGAAAGAAGCAATCTGGCAATGGGACAAAGACTGTATGTCTGCGCTCAAGAAGTTGAAGCGCGCGTTAATAGAGTACCCTGTCCTCAAAGTACCAGACCCGTCCTTGCCATTTGTCGTCACCACAGACGCAAGTCAGTATGGAATAGGTGCCGTGTTGCAGCAAGACGACGGCAATGGCTATAGACCCGTAGAGTTCATGTCAGCGAGGATGCCCTCTGAGAAGGTCGCTACCTCGACGTACGAGAGAGAACTTTACGCTCTCAGGCAGGCTCTAGACCACTGGAAGCATTACCTGCTTGGGAGGCACTTCAAAGTGTATTCTGATCATGAGACCCTTAGATGGTTGAAGACTCGGGCCAAGATGACACCTAAGTTGACTAGGTGGGCCGCAGAGATAGACCAGTACGATTTTGAGCTCAAGCTAGTGAAGGGCAAGTACAACGTAGTTGCGGATGCTCTGAGTAGGAGATCAGACTACTTTGGAGCCATAGTACACTATCTGGACATAGGGAGAGACCTGCAGGAGAAAGTGAAGCAAGCGTATGCGCAGGATCCGATCTATAGCGACCTCCTAAAGAAAGTTAGAGAGGCCCCAGAGACCGAGCCAGATTACCGCACTATAGACGGGTTGGTGTTTGAGAAGACCAACGTATTTGACCGCCTGTGTGTTCCCAACAACGAAGAGATTCGCAGTCTGATCCTAGGGGAATGCCACGATACTGAGGGACATTTCGGTTGGCAAAAGACTTTAGCCAACCTGATGCGTGCGTACACCTGGCCAGGAATGAAAAACGACTGTATAGAGTACGTCCGCAATTGTAAAGTATGCCAGCGTAATAAGACTACTACGCGCGCACCTCTTGGTCTTCTCAGACGCTTGCCTATTCCGGATTAGCCGGGAGACTCCGTGTCCATAGACTTCATGGACACCCAAGTCAAGAGCAGACATGGTAAGAGCCAAGTCATGGTCATAGTCGACCGATTTAGTAAGTATGCACTTTTTGTTCCTTGCCTGCAGAGGCACGTACGGATTTAGTGATACAGAAGTTCTTTGACTTTTGGGTTAGTGAGAATGGAATCCCATTGTCAATAGTTAGCGATAGGGACAGTCGTTTCACCAGCAAGAACTGGCAAGAACTCATGAGAGTCTACGGATCTAAGCTATTGATGTCGTCTGGCCGCCATCCAGAGACAAACGGTCAGATAGAACAGATGAACAAGATCCTACGGCAAGTTTTGCGCATGTACATCAGACCTGATCAGATCAACTGGGATGAGATGTTGCCTAAAGTAGCTAGCGCATACAACAACAGCGTGCATTTATCCACACTCCCAATGAGCTGCACAAGTCCTTTAGACCACGCAGACCATTTGAAGGACTGAACCGGGATCAGATTCACAGGCTACCGCCCGGTACTAGGGAGTTTGCGATACAGCACGAGAAAGAACTAGCAACAGTTGTAGAGAACCTCAGGAAGGCCCAACACAGAATGATAGAACAGGCCAATAAGCATCGCAGTTTCAGGTAGGCGACTTAGTCTGGGTCAAGGCTAAAGAGTTTGCACCTGAGGAAAACATCTCACAGAAGTTGCTGCCTGCATATAGGGGACCGTGGCCGGTTTTAGAAGTCAAGGGCGGAGAGGATGGACCATCCTACACTATAGAGATCCCAGCACACCTCCACACATACCCTGTGTTTCATGCTTCAAAGTTGTTGCCGTGTGTCACAAGTCAACAGTTCCCTTCAAAAAGATCCATGATCCCCCCGGATATGGACGGAAGTTATGACATTGACGGCATTGTAGATGAGGATGTGTTCAGAACCAGAGGTAGAGGTCGTCCCCAGAAACAGTATAAGGTCCGGTTTGCTTATCAGGAACCGGAAGACGACCGCTGGTTTACAAGGACAGAACTTCTAGAAACAGCTCCCGTCATAGTCAGAGCCTATGAGCGTGACATGAAGGGTAAAGGTCCCGCCTTGGACTAAGATGTTCTCGGAGGACCTCAAATTTAGGACGGCGGGAGTGAAACGGTTTTCACMTCTTTGCAGTAACAGATGCAGATCCCAGGGCTCGATCCCTAGACCTCACCCTACCAATGTACAGTATCTGTGTAGACCCCGAGAGTTGAACCTGTGACCTGTGTATTCGTAGACAGTTGGTAGGTCTGTCATAGGTCCATAGGTAGCAGGGATTCGATCTGTAGATCTATAGAGTAGAAGTCTTAGCGAGTTCCAGAAGTCTAGCTCTAGTCCTTCTAGAAGGTCGGCAAGTGGGCAAGTGGTCAAGTGGCGAGTCAAGTGATGGACTAAACTGCAGTGCAATCGCATTCCAAACTCGGTAGGATAGCAGTGAGTCCACAGTCAGTCAGCGGATCTCAGACATGAAGTGGTCCTCGCGATAAGCTTCCACCAAGGAGCGAGTGACATCGTCCGCGAGCTCGAACTCAGTAATCAGCGCACCAGAGAAATCAGGCCTGCGCGATAAGGCATCAACAACTTTGTTGTACTCCCCTTTGAGATACTGCGGTTCGTAAGTCATACTGTTCAATGACTTCGATCCAGCGCTTCAATGCATCGGAGAGCACTGGTTGGGTTCTTATCCACTTCAGGGTCTGATGATCAGTCCTGACGATGAAGAACCTCCAAAGGAGGTAATGTCTCCAATGGGTCAGTACCTTGTAAATCGCGTAGAGCTCTTTCTCATAAGTGGACTTAACCAACTTTTGAGACGGCATCTTCTTGGACATGTACTCAACTGGCCTCAACTTTGGCCGCTCCTGCTGCGCGAGCACGGCGCCTATGCCATATTGGCTAGCATCCGTGGTGACTATAAACGGCTTGTCAGGATTGGGAAGCTTCAAGACCTCATGGTGAGTCAACGCATGCTTCAGATGTCTGAAAGCAGCCTCACACCTATCTGTCCACTCTCACGGGGTATCAAGGCGGGTCAGGTCAGTCAAAGGGGCTGCCACCATCCTACAGTTCTTAACAAAATTACGGTAGTAGCTGGCCATCCCTAAGAAAGACCTTATCTCAGTCACAGACTGAGGACGCGGCCAGTCACGAATGCTGGCCACCTTCGCGTCATCGGGCTTCAAACCCTCCACGAAAATCTCATGACCCAAGTACAAGATCCGGGTGCGTCCAAACTCGCATTTCTCCCCGTTGATCTTGAACTTGTGCTGCCAAAGAAGACTGAGGACTTTATCTAAGTGCGCAACATGCTCCTCGACAGTCCTACTAAAAATAAGTATGCCATCGAGGTACACGATAAAAAACTTATCCAAGTAGTCATGAAATATCCGATTCATAGCGTGCTGAAAGGTGCCAGGAGCATTGCAAAGGCCAAAAGGCATCACCACAAACTCGTACAGACCGTACCTGGTCTGAAATTCGGTTTTGTGTTGATCCTTGGGCCGGATTGCAATCTGATGGTACCCGGACTTCAGATCTATCTTACTGAAGTACCGACACCCTTGCACTCTATCTAGCAGATCGTCGATGCGCGGTAGGGGCTCTCAGTTTTTGACAGTGATGGCATTGAGGCCCCTATAGTCAATGCACATCCTCACCGTACCCCTCTTCTTTCTCACAAATAAAACTGGCGATCGGTAACGGGAGACACTCGATCGGATCCATCCCTTCTCTGCGAGTTCCTTGAGCTGCCGACGAAGCTCGTCAAGCTCGCCTGGAAACATCCGATAGATCCTACCATTCGAGATGCTGACCCTGAGATAATCTTTATCGCGTGGACGACCTCCCTCTCGATAACCCATGTCGGCTCTTCAAATAGATCAGGGTACTTAGCAACTACTCCCTCTATCTCAGGCGGCATTTTCACCGGCTCGCCTGCTGCACAGACATATATTAGATACATACCCTCCTCCGGATTTTGCTTATAATAGTTATAAAACGCGGCCGCACACATGCATCCGCAGGACTCGATCAGACTACTAGCTTTGAACTTACGTAATCTGGCAGTCTCCCCACCTAGCAAAGTATGTTTGACCACTTTTCGGTCCCAGTCAAACTGGGGCTGTGCTGCGGAGAGATAGTACATACCTAACAAGGTATCCATAGGGAGATCATCGCTCACTAGGAACGAGACATGATGTCTTAGTTCCCCTCCCGCGTACGGGAAAAGACACTCAATGTCCTGAAGGTAGTCGTTGACTACCATGCGCTGTTTGTTGGCCCAGGTCGACTCCACAGGTCGACTTAGGTGCTGCACTTGCCCCTGCAAGCGCAACCTCTCAACGCACGCGCGACTAATGAAGTTCTGTGTTGAGCAAGTATCATAATAGGCCCCGGCCGTACGGTCGCCGATGACTACCTCACTAACGAACATATCACCCTTAGGGGCTTTTGCCAATGCCGTCCAAGAAGCTAGTGGGTCTGATTTAGACCACTCCTCTTCTAGCTCCTCTAAGGACTCGAACACATTCCTCGAACAGAGGCTCGATGGGTCTGAATGTGTTTGCGGGACGACGATGGAGTTAGTAGCTTGGGTCATCTCTCGAGTTGGTGAGGGTTGTCCACCACCCCGACTTTAGCCGGAATAGTTACTATTCCTATTGGCCCGACGTGTTTCCCGGAGCGGTGCCAGAACTGCTGGCCACATTCCTACCAACGGGAGCGGAGGATCCCAACGCCTGCCCCATCGTAGGCGGGATCTTTTTGGTCACCTTCTTATTCCGGCACTTGAATTGGTTATGGCCATATTGGCCACAACGGATACAAGCCTGCCACGTGTACCGATCTCTCCACACGTCCTCACCGAGATCTACTTTCTCCCATGGAGGAGCATTGGGGTCAACTTGACTCATAGACCAGGAACCTCATCGGCGCCTACCGGTCGCCTTACCTTTTTTAGCAACGGCAGCGACTACTCCACCCCCTGAATCTTCTACGCTGCCCGCCTCTGAACCTGTTCCCGCCTGGAAGTCGTCATCCAATTCGATGGTGGAAACATCGTTGTCGATGAACATGATGTGTCCCTTTGCTTTCCAGTTGGGAGGCAGTAACTTTTTCCTACCATCCGTCGTAGGTGTCTGACCATGCCCTATCTTTGCTTCAAGGTCTAGGGCCTTCTTGCTAAACGAGGGGAAGTTGTGCATGTTGATGTTGGCCTCACCTGCCAACTGATTCCTGAGAGGCATGCGAAAGCATCTCAGGTAGGAGGTGAGGAAAACCCGGGGGTCATAGCGCACCCCAGGGACACAGATCATCCAGTTTCTGGTTGACCGCCCAAGCCCGAAAGTCATGACCGTACCCCTGTAGCTGCACGAAACCACTCAACCATCTTGCTGCACTCCCCTCTAGATAGGAGGCAGCCACAAGCACTTCCTCGTGCGACAAGGTAAGTTTGCACTTGACGTAGACTGGCACTGCCCTCAACCATGTGTTGAGGTCTTCGCCCCTCTTATCCCCTGTAAAGGGTTTAGGAGCAGCGATGGCCGTCTTTGGAACCCACTGACTTTGTCCTGGTACCTGCACCATTCCGGGCTGTGGACTCTGTGGTGCAGGTTGCTGCACTAGCTGCTTGTGGGGCTGTGTACCCTGCGGCTATGCAGGCTGCGAGACAGCAGGCTGCCCGCTTACAGCAATTTGCGACGGAGGTTGGGAGAACACTGTCTGTCCAGGAACCTGTACACTAGGACCTGCTGAGAACCCTCCTGCTAACGACATACCCAGGGAAACGGTTTGGACCTTTGCTGGGGAGACATATGGGGATACCCCAGTCACCGGTGGGACATAAGGAGGAGGTTGTACAACGGGGCAGGCACCAGGCCCGGACAGCGATGGTGCTGCCTGCGCTCGCCCGACCAGCAAGGCCAGGCTCTGCTGGATGTCCTGAAGGAGAGTCGTGTAGCGGTGTGAATCTCTACAACACCTAGTAGGGCTGTCCTGAAGGAGAGTCATGCGGCGGTCGTGCATCTCTACAACACCTAGTAGGGCTATCCGCAACGTCCTCACATCGTCATCCATGTGCGTTAGGTCCATTCCCTCTAACTCACTGATGTCTGCTTGTCTCCGCTGCATCCTGGCTCTTCTTCTAATCATTCTTTCCTTCTCCGCTTTTCTCTCTCCTAAGGCCTTCTGTAGCTGTGCCTCCTGCTGTATGGCGATCTCATCGGAAGTCAACACTAATGGCTGGCTTGCCATGACGCCAATGGACTGACTCAGGGTCTGCGCGACCGTTGACCCTACGGTCGCTGAACTGCTAGCCTGGGAACTCTGGTGCGCAGCAGTTGCCATGGCTGCTGAAGCTGCGGCTTCGCTTGCGAATGCCCTGCTGGCCTATGCTGCCCTACCTCTTCGCTGCTGCTGCTGCCTCTCCCTAAGCTGGCGGAAAAGTAACCTATCACCCTCGGGTCCTAATGACACGTGGGCAATCGGGCGGCTAGCCGATCGCAAGACCCGGTCGTCCTCACTAGTGGTATCCTTATCGCTCATAAGCTACAGAACTGTACACAATTAGCACTAAGTCACTCCTTGATGCTTACCACAGCGTAGTGCATAGACCGATTTATAATACGTTGGGATTGGCGGGTGGGCCGGGTTGGACGGGCGGATACAGCTTTCGGGAATCTGCGCTTGCCGATTCCCGAAAGTTCTATCCGGCCGTCGAATCGGCCTGCCCGCCAATTGTAACGGTGTTCGGGTACGGTCTTCGCTGCTTCGATTGACGTTCATTGCTGCGACGGTCAGTTACGCTGCTTCGATTGGCGTTCGGGTACGGTTTTGCTGTGACGGTTTTCGGCGCTCTGGCGTACGGTGCTTCGCCTGGTTCAACGAGAGAGAGAGAGAGAGAGAGAGAGAG